GTTCCGGAACCAGACGACAATGGAGCAGACAGTACACTCGTGTGTGAGTTTTGTCGATTTTTATTTTTAAATTGGCCTTCAATATAAGGAAATTCAGTCTCTGCTTGCCAAAAAACACGAGTGTGCCCTCTTGCACTAAGTATTATTTTTAAATGTCGCAGATTGATGTGACACCCGTGCTTTTTGGCAAGCAGAGACTGAATTTCCTCGACAAAACTTACACACGAGTTTACTGTCTGCTCCATTGTCGTCTGGTTCCGGAACGCTGCCTCAAACTTTTGCGTTACCTCGCAAAAGGTTTTGCGAGGTAACGCAAAAGTATTGCGAGGGAACGCAAAAGAAAAAAAAATCCCCATGTCCCCTAGGGGGCTCCGTACATCAAAGATGAATCTCCCATTCCTGTGTTTATCATTGAAATTGTACGACTCGCCTTTTGTGTTTTCCTCACACCTGAGAATATTCTCTTTTTGACCAATCCACATGGGGACCCTTTATGTCTCCTGATAATAAGCATAGCCCTGTCCTTTTGGAGATTCTCCATGGGACTTCCTGAGAACTGAATGTAAATCAGAATCTCTTTGTTTGTTGCTGATAAGAAACACAGTGGCCTTGTTCCATTCTTTTATCCATACTATGTTATAAAAGGGGACGTGCCTTTTCATCGGCGCGCACTCACTTGGGTTTTACTCTGTGACCTGTGTCTTCAAACGCTGTTGCCTTCCAATAAATCTCTTTATTGGACAAGATCGATCTTCTCTAATTATTAAGAAACTTTACCTCACTCTTTTAACTCATTGACTGCCAGCCATTTTCAGAACAGAGAGTCGCTCACTGCCAGAGTTTTTTGAGCATTTTGACTGATTTTTCAAGAGCCACAGAATAGTTTGTGCTATGACTATGTAAACACCGAACACACCAAAAGAAAGAGTAGACTCTCTTCTTTCATCAGGAAAAAAAAAAGTGTTTCTACTATATTCTGTTCTTCCTCGACTTGCGTCTCACCGGCGCCATTTCTCGCTTAGCGAACCATTGCGTTTGTTTTTATTTGCCTACAGTCTATGCTAATCTCCCATCAAAAGTGGCACAGCTACCTAGAGGGTAAATTTGTTAGTTCATACTCTGTCTAGAAGCCTGATATTTACGGAAAAACTTTCGCCGATCGTTCCCCATTAAAGACCTCTATAGACGTCTTTGGCAGTCAGCGGTTGGATTTGAATTGACGTCTATAGACGTCTTTGGCAGCGAATGAGTTAAATAACTTTTTCCATAACACTGCTCACCCATCATTGGCAGGTTCTCCTCGGTGGAGGGTAGGATGTCCTGAAGGATCAGCAGCAGGACAAAGATGGACAGCAGCACCGTCACTTTGAAGTTCAGCTTCTCGCCTCGGGCCTCGCCGATGAAGAACGAGGCCAGATCCAGGACCAGCAGAAACAGCAGGGGCATGATCAAGTTGATTATGTACAGGAACGGCTTCCTCTGGAACACGACCTACGAAAACAGCCCGATTTAGCCAGAGAAAAATCACAATCCCCCCTTCTGATATTCTCATTTTATCCCACATTTTCCTACCATGTACACAAGGTTGCTTTTAGATGCTTTAACGTTGA